CTAAAAAGAACATTTATTTAAATTTGTTTGGTTATAACTGGTTAATTTTACGATTACTTGTTTAAATTTTCAAAATATTCGGAAAATAACATGTAATTTTGGATCCTAATTTGTTAAAAATTTATAATTTTTGGAAAAAAACAAAAAAATTTTTTTAAAAATTTGAAAAAATTTAAGAACCCCAATAGCATTATGAAAAATTAGTCTTTCACAGTGTGCCAGCATTTAAAATGGATTTACATATGTTTCCTCAGTTTGAGAAGATGATTGAATTCGAACCAGAAAAGCTGTCCCGTGATCTACTTAAAGTTCAGCTTGTCGTCGCTGCTCTGGTGACCGGTTGTCCGGGGTATTTGGTTATATATACAGGTACACACAGTATGCCGAGTCCATCAGCGCCTCATCCAATCAGGGTTCAGTCATGTGTTTGATGTTTATTCTGAACCAATAGAAATATTTCTATCTATTTCATTATCCAATCAGAGTTATGAATCTTTCAAGCAGTGCTATCAGTAAATGGAAATATTTACTTCTACTCAAACTATGGTGTACAGGGTGTCCCAATAAATATGGGAACTTGATTTCTCTGAGATAGTTTATAGAGAGTAGGAGGTGTATACTGTATATATATACAGGTACAGGGTGTCCCAATAAATATGAGAACTAGATTTCTCTGAGATAGTTTATAGAGAGCAGGAGGTGTATACTGTATATATGTACAGGTACAGGGTGTCCCAATAAATATGGGAACTAGATTTTTCTGAGATAGTTTATAGAGAGCAGGAGGTGTGTACTGAAAAGAGGGGTCTTTTCCTTTTTTAAATTGGCAAAAAAAACTAGCAGAAAAACTGAATTGATAAAAACTTGATCAATGTCTTTCTAGTAAATTTTAAAGGTTCAATGTCGCCACATTTTGGAAATCCCAAGATAAGAATTTTCATGCAAATCACTTGATTCCCAAGTGTATTGGGACACCCTGTAGGTAGAGTGTAGATTAATTACTCAATACTAGACTCATAAACTTAAATTAAACTTAGAGAAAACTCAATTTCACCCCTCCCAGATAAACTCTAAAGCAGTTTCTATATTTGATAGAATTTAAATTACGACTGTTGCTGTTTTAAAGGTAGTGTTCGCGAAAAATGAAAGGGGGTATAGGCTTAATGCGATAAAAAAGCGCTTTTGATCGCTACTAATCTTACTTCTATCTGTTGCGTCTATAAGGTGAACATTTTTAAAGACGTCTCATACCGAAGAACGTAGCGACCATACAAATTGAGAAAATTGCAACATACGACTTTCACCGTAAAAAAATCAATTTAATTTCAAACAAATCATTCAGATATTACAACCTATAGTCATCGATTATCTTTCGCCACATTTATATATAGTTGTTTTCTTCATAATATGTTTTAATTGTTATGATATGAGAGTTAATTAAAAAAACATTTATTCCTGTTTCGAGGATTTTTGGTAATGAAGACGACATTTTCATATTTTCCAGGAATGTTCGTAAACAAGTTGTAAGCTAAATATTATTTTAAAAAACAAAATCAAAACTAGTATGATATATCAAATATATACAAATGTGGCGAAAGATAATCGATGACTATAGGTTGTAATATCTGAATGATTTGTTTGAAATTAAATTGATTTTTTTACGGTGAAAGTCGTATGTTGCAATTTTCTCAATTTGTATGGTCGCTACGTTCTTCGGTATGAGACGTCTTTAAAAATGTTCACCAAATAGACGCAACAGATAGAAGGAAGATTAGTAGCGATCAAAAGCGCTTTTTTATCGCATTAAGCCTATACCCCCTTTCATTTTTCGCGAACACTCCCTTTAAGACTTAATATGGCACCATGCAGAGTAACTGTTCTTAGTCAACATTAATATCTTTTTACTTAATATACATAAAAAACTCGTTAAGACAAACTTATTTTTGTTTCTTATAAGAATAGTTAAACTAGGAATTTCCAATAGTTAAACTTGGAATTTCCAATAGTTAAACTTGGAATTTCCAATAGTTAAACTAGGGATTTCCAACTGTTAAAATAATTCAGTTGGTTTCAACTAAAACTTTTTATAGATTGTTTACAATGCATCAATATTTTGTTTAAGGTTATGTATCCCCCCAGATGACCTTCTTCACTAGTCTGGACGGATCTCTAACTATTAATTATCATATTCTCGCCTCTCTCTTCCTCGGGTGCATCTGTCTCATACTGACTGTTGGACCATACTCATACGGGAAACATTATCTGAGAAAACACCACTCCGTTAGGAATAAATAGAATCCAATCTAAAAAAAGTTATCTTAAAAAGGGATGTTTTAAAGGACACCTTGTAAACCTTTTTGCCAAATTTGTATACATATGATCGACTACTGGTTAAGGGATACATGTCGAAACAATGCGCTATTGAGACAGGGAAAATGTCGATACAAAATAAAAATAAAACAACGGAAGGATGCAAACTTAATCTAGAAATGTCAAAAATAAAGTTAAACATTTTCAAATTATTTTTACAACTTTAATTTGACGGATATAATTTAAAATAAAATTGTACCATGATTCTATTTTTTGTCAGTGCTCAGAGTGAAGCCAAAAGCTCCGATACCATGAAGAACATTGTAAACATGAAATCTGTGATTATGACAGTGGTTTCCACGATATGTCTGGCGGTGCCTCTCATCCTTCTCCGCTATGTAGACCAGAGCCATATTCCCTTCAATCTAATCCTTTACTCTGTATTTGGTCAAATTTGCCCAAAATCAGAAAATTCTCGAGTATTCCAAGAGAAAGCTGACCCAGAAAAAGAACGACGTTATCGAAAAAGTGCGAGGACTGAAAACCGCAGTTTTCAAAGTTAGAGAAAACCAGGTTGGAATCCAGACTGTCGAAACTCCAAGATATTAGAATCCGCTAGAAAGGACACCGGCAATCGGGCCAAAAGTGCAAAAACGCGTCACATACTGTATGTAAAATTCTTCAAAAGTTTATTTTAATTACGCACTTTTGCGGGCTATACCATACCGGTGTAACTATAACTCATATATTCTTTTAACTTTAATAATTTATTTTTGGATAAGGGTTGTGGGCACAAGCTCACGCATACAAATAAAAACGAAATATCAATAAATCTATTTCCAATTTGTTATCAAAGTCTTTCTATTATTTTGTTCTGCTCAAGATTAATTAAAAGTCGTACACCCCAACGTTTTGTGTTGTGCCATTGTCTTAAAAACTTGACTATGGATAACCCTGTAAACCATATAACTCATATATTAAAAGTAGAAGTATCTGTTTATCTGTTTGTTTGTTAAGTACGTCCGATCATTCATATAAATCCCGAACCCCTCGACTGGTTTTCTTTAAATTTCGATTCGAGGACTCGAAGGAACCACGGAAAAATTCCTAGGATTGTTTTTACAACTTCTAAGTCTAGACTTTTTATGTTGGATTTTCGTAAAAGTTTCTATTGTTATAATTTAAAGTAACAACAAAAATCCAAGATTGTTACCGGAATTTGGGTGTCAAGTATAAACTTTAGTATAGATATATTTGTTTAGACTGTAAATTTATTTCATGTCGGATTTAATAATCAAGAAAAAACCAAAAAAAAAAATATAAATGTGGTACGGTATATATATATTTTCGCAAGAAATGAAATAATTAAAATGGGTCTTGAGCTTGAAAATGTTCAACCGTTTTAGATATATGCCTTGCAAAAAAATGTATTGTAAAATTATTTTTGTTGAAATACAAGTTAATGTTTGAGAAAATTATGAAATAAATAAGAAAAACGTTTAAGTATTAGATGCTGTTTCTACAATATTCAACGACAACCAGAAAATAGTGAAATGATTGTCGTCTTTCTTCCTTCGTTTAAGGATAATATGTTAGAAGGATTGACGATTGTACAACCATGAAGATATACAAATTTGCCATGAACAGTTTTAGGAGTTATCAGACCTTAAAATTAAAATTTACACAATAGTTCTTAGATTGAAAGAACGAAAATAAGTTTTCAGGGAAGCACTTTATTTTGGAACATATTCTTCCGTACCCTGAGGGTGTTCTCCAACTCATCCAATATTTTACATATTTATTTTAAATTTTATATAATTGCTAAATTTTGTTATTTGTACCAGTACCAGTATCATCCCATGTACTGCAATCAGATAGTACCAGTATCATGCCATGTGCTGGAATCAGATAGTACCAGTATCATCCAATGGACTGGAATCAGATAATACCAGTATCATGTTAAGGGCTGGAATCAGATAATACCAGTATCATCCCATGGGCTGGAATCAGATAGTACCAGTATCATGCCATGTGCTGGAATCAGATAGTACCAGTATCATGCCAAGAGCTAGAATCAGATAGTAACAGTATGCCATATGCTGGAATCAGATAATACCAGTATCATGCCATGTACTGGAATCAGATAGTACCAGTATCATGCCATGGGCTGGAATCAGATAGTACCAGTATCATGCCATGGGCTGGAATCAGACCAGTATCATGGTATGTGTTCTAAATTAGACACAAACTTCTATGCCAAGTCATAATCAAATCTTCATTTTTTAATTCAAGACAAAAATTTGATCTTATTTCACAGAATTTATTTTTATGACTAAAAACTTTTAGAATTAAATTCGAGAGTTGATAATCAGAAAATAATCCTAGTCTTGATATTTCCAAATTGTGGTTTGCCTATTAATTTTTTATGTCTTTAATATTACTGAAAATATGAAGAATTTAGTAAAGATTTTAACAATTTTCGTTTTATTAAATAAATTGAAATTCTAAATTTGTAAAGCAAAATAAAAAGGCAGACCACATTTCGGAAATGCCAGGACTAAGAGAATATTGTGATAATTATTATAAGGATTATGAAATACAGACATAGAAAAAGTAGGTCGACGATTGAATGTTAACCTTTCATTCCATTATAGATTAGAACTACGAGCATCCGAAGATAAATGTTGAAAAAAGGGTTTAACAAATGTATTTCAATAGAATAAACAAGAAAATTTAAAATCCTATCTAAATATCACAAAACACTAACATATGGTTTTTAGGGGATCATACTATGGTTGGATACAGGAAAAAAAAATAAAAAATAACATTATTTATGGTCCAATTCTGAAGTTTATTGCTCAATCTATAAAATTACCGGAAAATTACTGCACATCATTTCCCAAATTATTTTTCTCGTAATGAATTACAACATTTAAATCCTCTCAATTTCTGAATGGCTGTAAATCTTTAATTTTTTGGATTTCTTTTTTATATGTTAAAAGATTTAAATATCTAAAATATGGACATATAACGAGAAATCTAACGTATTTGTTTCTTTTAAAGTTTTTTTAAAAGGTTCCACAATACCATATATTGACCCTGACAAAAGATAAATCTAATAAACGAACAAAAAACGAATTTCGGCCAGTTTTGACTGGTATTTTCTTTTAGGACAAAATTTTGCTTTACAGATAACAGATTGCAAAACTTATTTGATTTTGCAAACAGTTCGTATTTTAGTTGTTATATCAGTTAACAGATTGCAAAAGTTTTTTGATTTTATGAACAGTTCATATTTTAGTTATTAAATCAATTAACAGATTGCAAAACTTATTTGATTTTACAAACAGTTCGTATTTTAGTTATTAAATCAGTTAACAGATTGCAAAACTTATTTGATTTTATAAACAGTTCGTATTTTAGTTATTAAATCTGCAAAACTTATTTGATTTTGCAAACAGTTCGTATTTTAGTTATTATATCAATTAACAGATTGCAAAACTTATTTGATTTTACAAACAGTTCATATTTTAGTTATTATATCAATTAACAGATTGCAAAACTTATTTGATTTTATAAACAGTTCGTATTTTAGTTATTATATCAGTTAACAGATTGCAAAACTTATTTGATTTTACAAACAGTTCATATTTTAGTTATTATATCAATTAACAGATTGCAAAACTTATTTGATTTTATAAACAGTTCGTATTTTAGTTATTATATCAGTTAACAGATTGCAAAACTTATTTGATTTTATAAACAGTTCATATTTTAGTTATTGTATCAGTTAACAGATTGAAAAACCTGTTTAAAAGTTAAGGAGATGAAGCCATTCTAAATTCGGTAAGATTAATAGGACGCCTAATACGTTAAAAGATACGCAATTTCACGATTACTTTTCGTGGCGATTCCAACCGTCGAAATTATGGCAAAATATTAAGAACATTTCATAATTCATTTTTTTGATGATATCATAAAAAAACAAAAAATAAGAAAAATTAAAAATAACACATACTAAACAAAGTTATAAAAAGGGGGGGGGGCCCTAAGTTTTCAGTTGAATTATTTAATACCAGTACGGCAAAATAGTCAAAATTAGGAATTAAACTCTGATACATTGATATTGTTACTGTTGTTTATGTAAAGACTTAAGACATTGTAACGCTTGAAATTTTGAGTAACTAGTTTTTTTTTTACAAATATGCCCTTGTGTACAGTTGTTTGCTAATGTACTGCTTGCTGTACGGTAGAAATGAGTGCTGTACAGCTAACTATAGGGCTGTACAGTGTACAGCTTATTCAAGTGCTGTACAGCTAACTATCGTGCTGTACAACTAACTAGTGCTGAAGAGCTAACTGATATGAAGCTTATGTCCGTTCCTCGCTCCGTTCATCTTTGCATGTCCATTAACTTCTTCTACTTTCTTCTCCCTGGATAATAAAATAAGCATTAGAAATAAAAACAAAGGAAAAACTTGAACCAGAACTAAAAGATTAAAAGAACTGTTCAATAGAACTAGATAAATAACACCTACCTAACAACTGAAGCTAGAATAGAGAGTATTATCGAACTGATCTATAGAACTAGATAAATAACACCTACCTAACAACTGAAGCTAGAACGGAGAGTATTATAGAACTGTTCTATAGAACTAGATAAATAACACCTACCTAACAACTGAAGCTAGAACGGAGAGTATTATAGAA